ACTTAATGCTGTAATTTCTTCACATTTTTGCTTGTTTATCGATTTTTTATGTACACATAGGGAGTTCAAAGGCGTAAGCCTATTTCCCTCAAATACACTGACTGACTGACTGACTGACTGTATCTATGTGTAGAATGTTTTTATTGACAAAGACGCCAATTTGATTAAGATTTAACCCCAAACTGCAAGAAGCTAAACTCAGGCGAGCTTGTAAGTCGTAGGCGGAATTTCTCACGCCTACTGAAGTGGGGGCGTGTGTAACGCACCGCAAATCCGGAGTCCGTCGGAGAGTCAATTACGTTGTTCTCTACCACTACAATTTTGCATTCTAAGCTAATGATTAGGGCCGTTAATTACTGATACATGATGACTCGCTGATGCCCAGTTGTCACCCAGAAATTCCGGTGAACGCAGTTACCCCGCCTTGGTTTTGCCAGGCAAGGATGGTCAACTCACCGTTGATGGTTGTAGTTATTCGTTTGGAAGTCAGTTGTAAGTCGTAAGGCGGAATTTCTTACGCCATGTCAAACAGTGTGCGCAGGCGAAACATATTCGTCTTCAGGATTTATCGCCGATATTACGTGCATCATCACACACTGAATTTTAATACTCGTTTTGTTGAAAACACATCACTTGATATGTTTTACTTGGAATATTTTGTTTGTTTGAAGCCTGCAAATTTAGACAAGCGTAGTTGCTTTTGTGTTTACGCTAGGTTCTTAAGCTGCACGCCAGGGGTATGGCCTGAATTGCCTAATCCGGGGAGCATTTGTTTTGAGCAAAACTATTCAACATCTTAGAACTTTATGGTATCACGTATTCCGATCCCCCATATTATCAACAATTAAAAGCGGATCTCTATTTTCACCGCTGATAACAAAAGTAAGCACCTTTAATACCCCATTCTAGGCATTGTCAAAAAGGTATGACCTTATCGTATGTTTACTGCGATAACTACCTTAAGGCCTTTTGAGCGTGGGGTTTTTTAGGTCAGATAGGGTTATGTAACCGCACCTGAAGTAAACAAACCCCAGCCGATTGTAATACGGGGCTGGTGGTATTAGGGGGATTTTAACCGGTGAGACCGGGGAACGCACAGGCGATAAGGTCAAGTGGTTGTATGCTAAAAGGACAGCTATTGGGAATGCGCGGTTGTATTTGAGTGGTTGAGAAATAGCTGCCCTAACAGTATTGTGTCCATCAGGTCCGACTGCATAACCACATCTTCCCTTTTTATTTCTTCCTCTGCCGCGTGTAAGTGAATTTTGCAAGTTACTCTCTTCCAGCACGATTGATCCCCGGAGTAATTACAGTGAGTGACCGATCTGATGAAATGTTGGCTAAAATTCTGAAATGCGTTTTCGATTAGAAAGGATTACTTGGTTGCGGTTGTAATACTGATTATCTTGCAGCATAATCTTATAACATTTCGGACTCGACAGGATGTCTGCTTTAAAATTCACGTCTTTTTGATCGACTGTAGAAGGTGTGCTCGGAAAAAGTGACTACTTAAGTAGCATGCATTTTTCCCATTGATTTTCGATGGTCTTGAAAATTCAAATATGTTTTATAGAAACCATAAACAAAAAAAGCTTTCTTTCAATTAATAGAGAATCGCGTCTTCTTTATACTTATTACTTAAGGAAGGAGTATAATTAGGTTTTAAAAATTTTTTCTAATTGCCGAATAATTTGGAGCCTGATTATTCGTTGTATTAGCGCTTGGTGATCTCACTCTACAAGGTGCATGCGTTCCGCGTACAGAAAATCACATATTTTTATATGCCACTAAAGAGATATCATACAGAATCCATAAAATTTTGCAATGGATGCGGACCATGTTGTATATTTCAAGAGAAGCATTGGTAAACGACCAAGTACGATGTTATGTGAATGAACATTTCGCGGTCTTAAAAAGTCTCATAATTAGAAACTTTTTTAAAACTTAATTATACTCATTCCTTAAGTATGAAATATAAAGAAGACGGGATTCTCTATTGATTGATTAAAAGAAAGCATATTTTTGTTTATGGTTTCTATAAAATATATTTGAATTTACAAGACCACCGAAAATCAATGGGAAAATGCATGCTACTTAAGTAGTCATTTTTTACCAAGCACACTTTCTACAGGAGATTAAAAAGAGGTGCATTTAAAAGCCGACATCCTGCCGAGTCCGGAATGTTATAAGAGTATGCCGCAAGATAGTCAGTATTACAACCGCGACCAAGTAATCCTGCCTAATCGAAAACGCATTTCAGAATTTCCGCCAACATTTCATGAGATAGGTCACTCACTGTAACTCCGACCATAAGCCATATCCTCGCCAGCTGCGCGATTTACATCTTCTCCAGAGCCAAGTAATTATTCCTCTCACACCCCTATGTGTCACTTCCCCACATCGTAGGCCTCCTGCTCACAGCGTACACTTGGCCGGGACTTGCGCATATCATGATGGATGCGTCACAGATATCACGAGTAACTGGGAAGCCACAGGTAGAGGAGCCGAACAACATACTTCTTACGTGAGAGGTGCCGGCTGCGGCTGGTGATGGGGGAGTGCATGTGTGATGCATATGTTGGTGCAAATAATGTATGGTGATGTGGTCAAGTCTGCGAGAAATCACCGCAGACCTTCATGGAGGCGCATGTGGCCAAACTGATTCATGTATGGAGGGGATGTGTGTGTGTGTTTGTGTGTGTGTGTGTGGACAGTGGAGGCGGACGCGGCGACCGTATACTGGGGTGCTGTGTCCCAACAGGTATCACTACAAAACCAAAAGGTTTCAGAGAAACAGATTTTGTTGGTTGATACCCGTAGTCTGTTCTCCATACGTCTACGTAGCAGAGTAAACACCAGAGTTTAGGAGACTTCGAGCGTAAATGCGACTGATACCAGACGCCAGTAGAATTCTGTAGTGAGCGTTGGCCAGATGTCCATGATGGTCATATCACTACCAATAGAAGCGAAGAGACAAGTCCCGGAATGCAGTCTTAAAGAAGGAGGCACGATCGCTGGGACAAGAGCTTTACTAGCTTGACGTTTCGGATTCCTGCTCGAACCGATCATCGGAGACAAAAGCAGAAACGGGTGGTTCATGCACAAGGGGTATGCAGTAGTTATAGGATGCAGTCGCCACGCTACCGCATACGTATGAACATTCACGGCTCCCCACTTTCATCCGGGATCGTCTTCCTTGGTGTGCTAATTGTCGTTGATTGCTGCAATTTCATCACGCGCGTTGGATGGTGGTGTACTGAGTACTCGAACATCTAACCCACCAACCCTGGATTTGGGAAAAGTGTTTACTTGTGCGCTTCGCCCGTGGCTAATAACTCAGCCTAGGCGAAGTCTTAGCACCGAATATCGAACGGGGAAATTCAGTGCACTTATCAGTGGACTGGGGGCCAGTAAACCATGATTCTAGTAGCTCCCGGCTCACGCTGTTGTCACAACTTGCGAACTAAACTAGTATAAGTGGCCTGCGCAGAGGCAAATGGAGTGTGTGAAAGTCGCATTTTATACACCAACCTTAAGCTCCAATAGTTATCTGACACCGCAGGAGTGTGTCTCAAATTGTTGACTTTTTAAACAGGAAAGTTCACACAGCCAAGCGGTGGTAGGGTGTTTGGAAATCTACTCAAAATTATAAAATCTACAAATGATCTGAATAAATCGAGGTAAAGCGGGATATTTTTCGATATTGTTGGAACTGAATTTCAAAAAGATCGGCTGCAATGAGATAAACAAAGTCAAGGACAATCAGTGACGGTAGGATTACGAAGCGTGGACAAAGTGAGCGAAGGAGGTGAGGATGGGAGTGGCGGATCAGTAGTGCAGAGTATCGCCCACAAATTGATGGAGATGTTGCAGTGGTCGGTTCTGACGTATTTACTACTGGCAGGCAGTAATGGTTAACCCATGTCTCGGAAGAATTCGATTCTGTGAGTATATTGCAATAAAAGTTCCAACAGCGAATGAAACGTTTACTCAATTTCAGCTGCCATCGGCAAAAATAGTGTTTTGGCGGGACTGACCTGTCCAGAATAATTCTGATTATAAAGGCTGTCACAACTACTATATGCGCCATCATCATGTAGTGCTTACCTACCCACACCAAACCTAATCCCACGGAAACCACATCACATCAGCTGACTGTGAATGCTGAGAAAATGGTATGCCAGAGATCCTTTGTTGGTAATGCATGACAAACGGTCAGACTTCACGTGGTTTTCTCGTAGAGGTCAATTAGGGCCAAAAATAACGCAAGGAGCCGTCCTTACCTGAGCTATACCGAAAAAGACGTGCGAGGCATCGTTTTCCCTCTCGCATACTACGCCCAGTGACCAGACAGTCTGGATAGGTGGTTTGTTACCTTACTCCTATTGTCTGGCGTGCCAAGGAACACGGTTATAACTACTGCAATTAGCAAGTACCCCCGCCTCCTTCATGCAACGTGACACCAATTAAGACCGATGTGCACTCAACGACACAGCAAATGTATTCCGCGAAAGGCGTATTTCAGTGGGAAGTTCGTAGTCTCTAAAGCTCCATTCGGAATTATATCTGGAGTCTTGGACATCGAGAAGTCACTCAAGGTAAACGGAACTTGCCTAAGTCGGTAGAACCAAGAGGCTTAAAAATTATAGCCTAGCTTATTTTTCCGGCGCCTCTATATTACTAGCTGCAATTAAGAGCAACATACACCAGCGAGCAAAGTACTTACGTAGGCGGACGTTAGTGGGCTTGCTTCCTTTGCTTATTTCATTAATGTCAGCACTGTTGGATCCAAAAACTACAAAATCATAAATTTTCTTATTTATCTGAGTGTCAAAACGATAGTGGTTGTCAGAATATAAAAAGACTGAATAAAAACTAGGTCAGCATGTTCGAGATAACAAGCATACCCACCTACTGACCATTATATATACATAAAGGTACACAGAAACATAGAAAGGCGATGTGAGTGAGGGCAGATTTGGGTTGAGGAAAGACGATTATCAAGGGAAGCTGCGGTGATGACCCATCCGGTGCTCCCACAGCCACAGAGCCATCCTGGGACTTCCCATTGTATGGCATGCGATTGCGTTGTCAAGCCTAGAATGGGAAGACGGGATAGAGGATACGGACATGAGTTGGACAAATAGTTACCAGACGGAAATAACGATTTCACGAGATTAACGAATCACAGCAAAACATGAACTAATATCCTAAACTCTCTGGAAGGCAACGGGAGCCTTGCCTTGAACCGAGAAAAAACGATGAGGAAGTGGCACGCATCAACAACCTGAAGTGGCAATTTGCATGAAAATATCATGGTGTAGAACTTACTTAATCCGACATGTCCTGGCGGACAGCATGAAGCGATCCTCGTGTTCCGGGTGGACGTTCAACTTCAGTGCCAGGAAGCCTACAAAGACATCGTCGAAGCGCAGATAGGCCACGTGGTCGGCCTCAAGAGCCATCAGATGGATGAGCTGCATTGAGGTGACGTAGGCACCCGCGGCGGGATAGGGCGGCCAGCGACTCCAGGGGTAGTCAGCCAGCGAGACGTACCACTTGGAGAACCAGGCCCGATGGGGTGATCCCTTCTCGTACACGTGTCCCAGCAACTGGTAAGGTTGCTGGGCCAACAACCTGCTACGATGTTTCAGCAGTTGGGCAAGCAGGTGGGGATTCGCGTAATAGTCATCGTCCAGACAGACCACAAAGTTGGCTTGTGGACAGTACATACTGGCCCATTTAAAGCCCATTATTGCTTTGTAAGTATTGTTGTCATAGTGATCGATGAATTCCTGTTGAACTATCTCGCCATAGATTCGCTGCTCCTCGTCGATTTCTAGTCATAAAAAGGCATATTAATTAGCAGCAGGATGGTTTGGTGAATAGTCTGTTATTTTACGGTTGTTGTGCAGGTGACCCGAACCGCTGGGGTCATCAGTTTATTTGGAAGAATGTGTGACGAGGACGAAAAGAACCATGTGATGGGCACTCATCCCAGTCAGCAAACACGGACGTATTGACTTCCAGTTCTGTGTCGCATTGGAGTCACTAGAAACTCATTGGAGATATTAAGGTTTGATGTCAGTGCTAGTGCACATTATTTCTATATCGCCAACCAAAGTGCTTATCGATGGAAGACGGGCTTGATGACTTACACACCGCTAATCCATACAACATCTGTGGCTATGGCAAAGGACGAAATAAAAACTATTATGGTCATTATCACGTTTCGCTTGATAGTCGCTCCACGCCATGGTCTATACCGCCTCACGAAAATGGTCAAGATCCTATTTCGTAGTCGAACCTGCTAGGGGCTAGGGTTATGGGTTAGGGTTAGTTGTTATGGGTTAGGGTTAAGGACTGGAGTTAGGGGTAATTGCTTAAGGTGAGGGGTTGGAGTTACGCAGGGACTTGTCTACTGCAGGTACGACTACGAGATAAGATCCGACCTGAAAATGTAAATCGAGAGTCCAGCGGCGTTATTTGTTTTGGCGGAGGGTATTCAGTATCGAACACTTTTTCCGTGATTCAGCGAACGATTAGCGGCGGAGGAGACACACGCACACAATGCCGAGCTTGTTTGTGATGTCCGCGCCATTGGTTTATCTGCTGGCTCGAGAATGCGCGCCTTCAACTGCCTTGAGTATGCAGATTCTGATCATGTCTTCCCTCAAGGACTCGGGTGGAGGAGCTTGGATTACGGCCTACGTCGTTCTCAAGAAGGCGCTGAAGCCATGTTCTGGAAGTCTAACTGCTGATGTCAGGGCCGAGAAAGTGATATCTAGGTGGTAGCTTCTTCTCTACACACGTACATACGAGCCCATTTTTAACTGGCATTGCATAATCATAGTTACTGACATGTAGGCGTTTCATCATACCAAATATGCGGGTAGCGGGTGAAATACCTTCACTGCCCATCGACTGCAGAGAAAAGTGTATCGTGTACATATTTTCCCCATTCGACCTAATAAGAGAACCGTGATGTCCATATCTTTGTGCGTCAGTTCGCGGAGAATCGCAGCTGTTCTTCCTTCCTGTCGGTTGTGACACAGGTCAGATGTGGTTATGTAGCCGCACCTGAGGGAACATAACTCAGCCACCTGCAACACGGGACCCGTGGTAATAGGAGCTTTTACAGGTGAGGACGGGGAATGCACAGGCGACGAGGTTGAGTTATGTATGCAAGAGAATAGCTATTGAGAAATTTTTGAGAAATAATTACCCCAGCCCTAATTCCTAACCCATAACCCTAACCCTTAACTACAACCCCTAACCATAACACTCTAACCCAAACCCTTTGACCAAAACCCTAACCTTTAACCGCAGCCATAAACCCTGACTCTGAAAAATCCAACGCGAAATTCTGAAGGAGACGGCCAGCCGGAAGTCAAGAAGGCCACCAGCATTGGCCCGAAAAGATAGACACGGATACACAGAAACAAGGACGCCAACGGGACACACAACGCAAAGCACAGCAACATTATGCCAACGTAATCACATCAACTCGAAGTAATTAAATAGGTCAACAGTATTGTATCCATCAGGTGCGGCTACATAACCACGTCTTACCGAGAAGCAACCCCTTATTGGCACGAGATACCTGCAGGAGCGCTTTTGTTCTCTTGTCGTAGGACATGCCGTTTTGAGAGAGGTAAGGAAGGTCGGGATTGAGAGTGAGAGGACCAGAGTGTCAAGACACACAAGCCACAGTTGGGTTAACCCAACTAGTTAAAGAGATTCCCAGGATGTTGTTACCGCGCGCAGCAGATGTTCGAAAAGCGGCAGGAGCGAGAAGAACTGAAGAACTCTGGGAGGAGGTTTATCTCTTTAGAGCCCACGCCTATCCGCGGGCATTCATTAAACGGAACCAAAGTCAGCCAAAGAAACGGAATGAAGAGCATAGTCAGTCAAACTCGTGGCTGAACATTCCATACACTAAAGGGGTCTTCGAAGACGTGGCTAGATCTCTCGCGTCACTCGGAATAGGTGTCGCCCACAGGCCTGATTCAACAATCCGCCGGCAAGTGATGCAGCCAAAAGATTCAATCCCTAAACAGGAGATGTTTGACTTTGTCTACCAACTTCAATGCAGCTACGGAAGTTGCAACTACGTTGGGTTAACCGGCCGACGGCTGCAAACGCGAATGCACGAGCACAGGTTGGCCATGCGAATGTTGGACCCAAAGTCGGAGGTAGCAACCCATGCCACGCAAGTGAGACACATTTTCAACTTTGACGCCGTTGAGATTGTGGGCCTGAGCGGTGATCATACAGCAAGGCAAGTTCAAGAAGCCAGGATGTCCGCCGACTGCTCTGTCAACCGCCACATCAATTCGTCCCCCGTCTACCTGACTTTACGAACCTTCTCAACGAGGGACAGTCACAGCGCGGGACATTCGGGGCCGTCAGTCAGCCCTGCGGCCAACGGGGGCGATTCAGGTCACTGTGACCTGCGGGTTGGATGCAGCCACACAGGCGGCATTGGCGCGTCACGCACTGAACAAAGTGCGCCATATAAGAGGAGCTGTGCGCAAGACTTTCCAGTCTCTGAAGCTGGGTAGACGAATCAACTACTCGAAAGGTCGGATCTCCAATAAACCACTATCAGTTCAGCTCCTGTGTATGCCTTATTCAGAAAGAGAACGAGCAAAACATTACTAGTTTCAGCAAAATATCAGTATTTATATGCGCGTTCTGCCGTGCATTCATAATCGATGAACGGAGTCTAAAAGCGAGGCAAGGACAGCGAAAATGGCCTCAGTGTATACAGAAAGGCATGTTCTTAAGTTTGCAGTAGAAAACCACTAGTATTGTTTAGAAACGTGAAAGAAACAGCCAAAAGTGTCAAATTTTTACCTGGCCCCATCGTACAAAAATGCAAAGTACGCAGAGATCGGTAAACCGAGTGCAGCAATAAGGCACTGCTTAATGAGTTAACCTAGTAAGAAAAGTTTACTTGTTGATCAAAGGCCTATTCGTTGCTGACTTTCGTTGTGAACAGCTAGTTATCGCGAAATTGAAGTTTGATTTTTGAATGTCTCTTCACATGTGACCAAAACGATCATCTTCGTGAAAAGGAGCGCCCGAACACCCAATAATTCGGTGAATGCCATCAAGAATAATCGTATTTTAAAGTTCTCAACAAACAGGTAATTCAGACTCTGTCTTCATGAAAGATCAGATGAAAACACTGAAAATAATGAAGTATTCAGCAACACTTCTAGGTCGATCTGAAACTCAACGTAATCCGAAACGAACGAAAAGTGTAAATTAATTTAAAAGAAGAAATGTTCTCTCTATAAACACAGGACCCAGCATGACTCCCTACCCGCATCCCTCCTCACACGCTAATGGTCCGCCCGTCAATGTTTGCCCTGTCGCGTCTACCAGTCAAGTGTGATTGTCTCACTCTCTCTGTTTTCTCCTCATTTCGTCTGACGACTGGTTGGTGTCACCAATTCGAAAATCGACGAGTACAACTCGATTTTTTCCGAAGAACCCCTTCCCTTTTCATTATATCGTCTCAGAATACCTACCACTTCTTCTCTACAAAATAGTTAGTTTACGAACACACCTGCCAGTCCTATTTAAATTTATTGGGCACCGACCTGCCTCATGGCATGTCAACTTATGAAAACATTTATTTTTCCTACGACGCACCCGTCGGGTGAAATCAAACAAAATCCAGTTTTTTCCTGCTGACCCCACGTCAAGAATAACATGAATCCCTGGAGCACTGTTTATGGATCTACACTCAGAATGTAGGCAGTTGACAAACCGTCGTATATGAAATTAAACTAATTTTTAAACGACATTTAGATGTAAACTTCACTGGAACATTATTATTAGACGTTATTTTTTCTACCTTCCTATTTACGACGTTTTTGGTATGAGAATGTATTCTATACATCTGAAAACGAAGTTTCCTCAATTAGATCCATCTCTGACGTTTTCGTAATACTGCGCTTTCCTAAAAAATCAGCATTTCTCAACAACGCAACACTGCCTTTTTTTTTATTTCTTTTATGCTTCTAATTCATTAAAACTTGTAGTTAATTAACATAGTCATTGGACTAATGAAATAGTGTCGGTTTGCGAGTGAGAGGCAATCATGCCTGAATTTCGACACATTTCATGAGTTAGGTAACGCACTGGAAATCGAACACTGTTTATGTTTGAAAGGAAAATAACGCAAAGCAGGCAAACTCACCAGAATTGTTTCCATGTTCGTATGCACCAAGGAGGAAGACGACGGGTATATTGAGTTCCCTCATCTAATCATAAAAATGGTGGAAAACATCACGCCGTGATTAAGGCAAACAGACTCCCAACTTCGAATCAACCGCAGACACTTCGACGATGCAGACAATAGGCATGAGGAAGGCTTCTGCAGTTCAAAGAAACCACACACACACACACACGCATACCACACATTGTACCTATTAATCCCCACTGGGTATTATCACATGTATGCGGGTCAGAAAAGCTTTAATGACGACGAAGATTACAGGAATCCAGACTAACAGCGCATATTTTTTGGCAAAATTGCTTTAATATGATCGTACCACTCCCGCAAAAATTCTCGTACAGGAACATAGGAATTCAACACAACACTTGTAGCTAGAAACTAGGGAGGATTTATAAACCAATAGGGGTTTTTACGAATTGCCGCATATTCTGAGTGTTGCCGAGGTTGAAAATCAATGCATGGCTTAACTATGGACTGTATATAAAGTGCGCAAAAACAGCTGAATTGCGAAAGGTCACATCATAGAGTACTTTCGGAGTTCCACCATGACCGACAAAATTTTCTGTTAAGATGTGATTATGTAGCCCCACCTGATAGACACAGCACTGTTGGAATTAGGGGTTAGGGTTGGAGGTTAAAGTGAGGGGTTATAGTGAGAGTTCGGATTTGGAATTAGGGGTTAGGGTCAGGAATTAGGACAACTATTTCTCAACCACTCAAACTACAACCGGGCATTTTCTATAGCTATACTTTCGCATACAACTACTTGGCCTCATAGCCTGTGCGTTTTCCGGCCCCACCTGTAAAGACCCCTATTACCACCAGTCACGTACTTCAGGCGGCTGTGTTTAGTTTACTTCAAGCCGGGCTACACAACCACATCTGACCAATTTCTTAAATAGTACGTCCAGAAGTAAAGTCTTATAAATCCCTCATCAAAATACAGTTTATATGGGCAAATATTAAGAATCAACTGGAAATAAACCCCAAGAACATCCTTAGCAAGATTGCTCAGCAGTAATGTGGCATGCTGTCTAGTATAAATCAAACTTGAATTCTAGAACATAACGATTCACTCAAATTGCGTAATGTTAGTATATTTAAAGGTTTCGTCGGACAAATTGGTTGCAACGCTAGAGCAAAACCGTTGATAAGATGCGGCACGGGTTTTGACCTGTCGTACAGACCTGCATAGGCATAAAATGCCACGTTTTCGCACCACCGAATCTCCCACAAGACAGAGGGTAGGGTACTCATCAGCTAAACTGGTTGCACTTCATACGACAGCCGAAGAAGCTGCATCAAATGTTGACTCCGGCAGAAGTGAAGTCTCTCTCTCTCAATGGGCTTAGCTTCTGTCCTATGGTGGACAATGACGTTGACCTCCTCCAAATTGCGACAGAATAAGACTACGGCTGCGTCGAGCTTACCCTCCCACTCCTCTCACTGAGCCATCAAATCGCCTTGGGTGCAAAACGAGATTAGGTTAATAGGACTTGTGATAGGATAGGGCACACGTCCACAGTCACGCCTACGCTCGACAAAACGCGACTGAACTCCCTCAAATCAATCGAACCAGGCTTTGCACCACCGAATCGCCCACATCGGGAGGTTCGGCACATTGGCTAAACTGGCTGGACTCCCTAAGACAGCCGAAGAAGCTGCCTCTAATTCAGACTCTGGCAGAAGTGCAGTTTTTCTCTTTCTCTCTGGGTTGAGCTTCTGTCCTTTGGCGAACAATAACCTTGACCTCATTCAAAGTGCAGCACACTTCGGCATTCAAACCAGCTGCCAAGTGGAGGAGAAGGGTGAATGGGAGGATGGCCTTCAGTGAAACCAAAGGAACTTCAAACTGAGTTCACAAAAGATCACACAAACACACCTTATCAAAATTCCTTCAAACAGGATGAGATAGTTTTGCCATTAGTGCCGGGGTTGATGCTCATTTAGTTCGACATAGTCATGCTGTCGAACAAAAAGATACTTCTAGGTAGGTGATCGCTTGCATAAAATCGGAGGCTGGACAGCTTCAAACAACTACCATTAAGATGCTTTGCTGACAAAGTTATTTAAGAGATTGAACTGGTCGGTATTCGAGTAAGAGTTATTTGCATCAAGTAGTAGACCTATCTGCGCGCTAGTGGAACAAGTGGGAATTGAGCAAGCCTTTCTAGAACGGAGCATACTTTGTAAATTTGACCTAGTGATTCATGAGACATGTTAGCTACTGTAGATTTTAGCGCCAATCCGTCTGCCTGCGGAAGAAGAAGAAGAAGAAGAAGGGAGCGATTGTGCATTCGCACCTTTCACCGTCTTATTGGCAGGACAGCACCATTTAACACAAGGCAATTGTCGCACTGTTTTACAGCGACAATGTGCGCTAGGGACAAGAAGCGAACATCTCACACCCAACTCCAATACACGTAGCGTTTCAATGGAAGGACAAAAACGGAAGTGTTGCTGTGAAAGCGGCACAGCGAATGGGCCCGCTCAGAGCTCTGGCCTGCGTGTGCCGTAGGCACGTGTTGATGACACACTGCACACGAAACTTCCTCACGCTGCGGTCAGTCACCGTTCTGCTGGACTAAGAAGCAACCATTGCAACCTGATAGCCAACCCTGAGGAGCCAGTTGAACTGGAGATTAGATATCTGCCAAGCCACGATTAACGACGTGCCATTTTAGTTCCCTGACCTGTTGGCTAGTAGTTCACTGCCCTAACAACTGGGCAACAGGCTCATTGACCTGTCAATCATGTATAGTTCAAGGTAGAACATTATAACCGACAAAGACAAAGGAGAACGGAATGGCCATTTCTGGCTTATAAGCCATCGTCAGACAATCATGCCCAACCTTGAGGTGTGGGATACGTGGGCCTCGAACACGCAACCTGTTAATTAGAATTCTAACGCCTTTAGGCACTGAGCCACGGCCTCGTTGTATATTCCCGATAGTAATCGACAGGACAACGAGCCCCCGGCTCAGTGCTGAGAGGTATTAGACTTCTAACAAACAGGTCGCGAATTCGAGCTCCGTGTGCTCCACACTTCTGGATTAAGTGCGACTGACTTACGACGGCTAATAGGCCAGAAATGACCATTTCAGCCTCCTTTGTCTTTTTCGGTAATACCATTCTGCCTTTATCATGCGCCGCTGTGCGGCTGCTGGTTGAGCTCGAGAGAGGGCCTGTAAGGCACAACGGAACGAATGAGTTCTGTAGAAACAATCGGTGAGGGTCCCTCTACCATAGCCTAAGGTATATGGAGCTAGTTTGTGCGAATGATGTGTGGAGCGCGGAATGGTTTGTCGTAGAAACAAACATAAGATTGATTCAAACGTACCGCTAAACATTAAGGAGTTCATCCGCAAATCAAAGGGAAAAAGGACTTACGGCGGCCAGGATCGCAGACGCAAACGCTGTATAACTGAATGAATTTCACGACATCGAACAGGGGATGGCGAGCCAATCAATCACGATAAAAAATATAAACGTAAAAACTTACACTAATTCTATCTATGCATTGCGACAACAACTGCAGGTAAATCGGACATAACGCCAAATTCGAATTAAAGTCAACAGGCCTTACTGACAAGGACACCACTGTCGTCAAAACCACTACCAGCTTTTATGGAATTACTTGGCAGACATTACCTCGTTTGTCCACGCACCGTGCCTCGCGGTGAAAAAAGGGTTTAGCCTGCACAAATATGCAATAGCCTAGCCATACGAATCTCACAATTCTTTTGCTTAAATCAGGGTGAATGTGTGGTAAACGGCCTATTTGAGGCGGATCTCACTGTATGCTGAGGGACACATGCCATTTCCTTAGCTTTCTTAATAACAACAAATTCGTAATGTGGTAACAGTACGTGGACGTTTTCTGGGCTATCACTGACAAATATGCAGACCAAGCCGACAGAACCGTTCTCAAATGCATGCATACGGAGCTAGGCGTGGATCCAGGATGCCCCGTCAGAAGTGACCGGGCTCATATGCCCCTGAGATAAATTAGAAAACCATGTTGGCATAATAAATTCCACCTTCACCGCCGCCGCCGCCGTCGCCACCGCCACCAACGCCGGCAGTCAAAGAATATCTATGAATGGTAGGGAGCGCTCACCGATCGTTCTTACCGAACTCACTCGTTCTGTTGTGCCTTACGGGCTCTCTCTCAAGCCCGACCAGCGGCCGCGCAGCGGCGCATGATATAGACAGTATGTTATTACCGACAAAGATAGGTGGAAACTGAAATGGTCATTTCTGGATTATTAACCGTCGTCAGCCAGTCATGCCCGACCCCCCAAGGGTGGAACACCCGAGGCTCGAACACGCGACCTGTTAGTTTAAAGTCTCAACGGGCTCGCGTCCTAGTATTTAGAAGCGTGGACTTCTAACTAATAGGTCGGGATTTCAAGCCTCGGGTTTTTCACACTTAAGGTTGTGTATGACTGGCTGACGATGGCTAATAAGCCAGAAATAGCCATTGTAGTCTCCCTTATCCTTGTCGGTAATACCATTATGCCTAAATCTATAAATTTTAAGCCGAACAAGGAAATACACACAAAGTTAAAAAAATTCGAAACAAACCTCGCGCATCCAGGTAGCTCGAATGGTCTCCCGATGGTCTCGGTGGCTTACTGCCGACTTGACAAGAACAACGGCTGGTAGCGTCTCTTTTCCACTATGCCACACATGCGCACAAATATCCCTGGCTTTGTGTAGGTAACGGAAGTTTGGATGAAAAGAGGCCGGAATCTGCTGCGGTGCCAGACTCTCAATCTCCCGCCGATAAGTGATGGGGCCTTCAGAGTCACAATATAGCGAAGCAGCCTCCTGAAAGGGGGCGGCCGCCAGCATCTCGAATACCCCAAGAACACAGAGACCGAAAAGAGTGAAAATGGTCAGTATTACGGCGCAGATATACAGGGAGCTAGGGTGGAGTTCCACCCGAACTCGCAGCCAGCGCAGTGTGAACAGGGGAGTTCGCGATATGCGTCCCATCCGCTCATATCGGTAGAAACAACTCGCCACTTAAATGCGCAACGCCTGGGCAGCACGTCTAGACATGACGCAGAGGGTCACACGTCATTCGCTGCCTGGCGCCAATCAACGGCCTGGCAGAAATGCACCAATGAGAGCACAGGTCACACTACTGCGGTCTACGCGATCGTGCCTTGGTGGTTCAAGGTAAACGGCGAACTGAAAAGGCTCAAAATCCGGTCAGATAGGGCAGTGTCCCCCAGTACAATTTCGCGGGACATCCTGCAGCTTGCCCAAGAAGCCTTAGCTGACTTCATTCAACCAACGACAATCTTTTTGTAAAATTTCGTCTTTTTGCCTCTATCTTTTGGGTGATAACTATCACCAATAGCGCTACTGCTTCCACCTATATGAGTACTGCCACCTTCTAATACCTCGCCACGCAAAACATCCGATTCTAAGTATATATTGCCCTTGTGCTAAAGTTTAGATTTCTGGGGTCTCAATCTACTTAGCACGACTCTTCAGTTCGTCTCCGAATTAGCAAAGAACTACCTACTGCGATGTCCCTACATCGATTATGTTGAGACAAGAACTACGTAACAAGCATACGAGTTAAGGGCATAGAAGATTTCGGATTATGGCTTGGTGTGAAGTTATGCATAACAAACACTTATGATATGCAGCTCTAGGACGGCAGTTTAAATACCCACGACATTAGTAATGATGATGTCTTGAAATACAGATGATACAAACGCCTGGGGGACGTCCAGTGGAGTAGGTTTTTCTGTTGCTGGTGCGGTGAGATGCGCGGTTGATTATCCATCATATCCCTCTACACGATTGGCTATCAGATCCAAGGGCGCTGGTTCAACCAACCGGCAGACAAATGAAAGGTGATGGGGGTCGAACTCTGTACGACACGAGATGGACAGCTAGCGAGCGCGGTATTCGCTACAGGAGCCAGCAAGTCGCTCATGAACGTCTTACAAAACTCACTTTGATGTGTTTAGAGAGTGGTTTTTAGGAGAAAAGGGATAATGTGGGCAACGATAGGGAGTAGGACCCACAACTAACTTGAACTAGCCTGTGGACCGTGTCAAACGTTGAATTATGGCAAAGGGGGTTTTATGGGTGGGGCAGCAAGCAGGACGGATAGCAAGAAGACAAAGAAAAAAGATAAATTTCTGTCGAAAGACTTGGCGTACACCATCATTTGGCAACATGAGTGCGATAATCAAAAAATGATCGAAAAACGATTATCAAAATAAACGGACTTTTGATAGAGCGCCTATTATACGTCTACATTTACTCAGGAAGGAAGGAAATTTCAATCAACGCGAATGGTAAAACATATGTGATGTTTTAAGTCACACTGAATTCTAGGGAATTTTCGGAGTTGTCATCTACTCGGAGTCCTACACTCTATCATCACCATTATGTGCCACGGGGAACAAACTTCTTCAAAGTTTTACTAGACATTTTTCGGAAATTAAAAAACTTCGCTTGTTGAAAAGTAAGAAATTGAACTTGCTTAACTTAAATAATCGCCAACCGCAGATTTATCTGGCCAACCACATCTGAATTTATGCAACTTAGATTAGGTGCATGGTGATAGTTTCTGTGTACTTGGGTTTTTGCTTTTTATCATGACAAAATGCTCTATCCAGCACGCTAGCAGTTAAAGTTATACTTATTATAGTGAGATACACCAGAAAGGTTGATTGATGTGAAATAATCCCCATCTAGCATTGTATAATGAATGTCCTCTGATGCCCTGGTCGTGAATCAGTTTCCCTATCTCACCTTGGCCCGGGTCGCCCATCTGCCGGAAATGTCTACCATCAACAACGCCTGTATTATGAAGTAGTTCACGGTGAGGCGGACCTGCATAGTATTTACCGTACTCTCTCTCTTATCCCTCACCCACTGTGACCTGGTGGCGAGACAAACGGAAGTCGATCATAGGTGGGCGATGGCTCAGTAGCTGACAAAGCTAAACAGCCCCCTCTAAGGCCTTCTAAGCACGACGTGGTCCCATCTAAATGCACCAAAGTTTTGGGAGCGGGGTGGGCGGAATAGGACCTTCTACGCGCTAAGGTGCCAATGCAGTCTCCTTCAGTCACTTCAAAATGATCCCGTGGGGATCCAATTATGGGGTCAATTGGCAAGCCGCGAAGGCAATATTATTAACGCGTGTGATTAATTCGGATGCATCAGATTTTGCAGGGTGACTGAGGCACGGAAGTACCTTGGCGATGGATTCCTCAACGTAGACCTAAATTTCTCCTCCCACTCCCATATGCCAGTCGACTGGCGGAGCTTTTTGATTTACTATTAATGGAGTGACTGCAATAGAATCCATTTTGGTGGAACTCGCTGCAAAACACCACATGGGGAAATCGGAGGAAAGTAGCATGACTTTGGCGAGCAGGAGACTTTCTCCTTCAAGTTTCGCTAAGAACTGCGTTAACGGGCTGACTGCAGTGTCTGAATCTGCGATTAGTCATTTAAGACGGCAAAATAGCGAAATTTGCCAGCTCGTTAGCCGAAAAAAGGCGCTCCATTAGTACTCTCCTAGAAGGCCCTAGAGTTGAACCAAGGCTCTCGTGATGTGTTGACCGGTTGTCGATATTGCGTCTGAATTCTCTATTGACAACAAATTAGCTAACATTTTGCGCATCGGAGTATTTTCGCTGTTGGTTCCGTACGGGACAGAGAACTGACCATCATTCAAAAATCATTTGGCCTGTCCGCTCATGACCATCATCTAAGACTGCTTTGGTAAAACCTCTTCTGGAGACGGCTCATTAGCATTACGGAGGTTTTGGTTACATCAATTATAAGCACCTGCCCCGCGCAAGGCCTTTTACATAACTTATGATAAACAATAAATTCAAATGGGGAATGTTTATTTTACCATACCGAATTATGATGACTTCCAAAGTGAATGATATTGCAATTCCGCCGACTGATCTCAGTCCTTCCTCTGATACCGTGAAAATCATTCTTGACAGTTTGTTATACGTTCTCTTAGAAACCCTCTAGCTGAATGGAATATCATCAATTAAGTTCTGCAAAGATCGAAAGCAAAAATGGTTGCGAATGCACGAAGTCATAAATGAGACTGGTGAACGGCAAATTAAGGACGGGAGGAACCCGCAGCAGTTTGTCTCTTCAGACGTCGATTCTTCTCCATGCAGAAGCGCAGTAAATGAAGGAGGAAACTGTGAGGACGCAAGAGACGTCTACTTCCTCATTTGCCAAAGGTTTTCTCTCTTTTGAAACATAGGAATATGACTGACTTATTTACCAGTACGTCCATTATATAAATGCCCTGCTAAAGATTGAAAAATACACGCCATCGATCTCCGGAACTGTGGACTTCTCAAAAAGTCGTGTGTTGTGTAGGAATTTCCATAAATGCGGGTCTCATTTAGCAGCAGACATGGGCCTACACGAAAAAAATTCTGGGGAATTTTTGTACATTGCAGGTTTGTTTCTTCTAATATGGTTGCTTAGCCATTCTATAAAAAATAAATAAGCTGTTGGTGAACAGCCGTAACAAACGGGTTATAGTGTATTTTTCAGTTATCCTACAGGGTTTTGTCTTTTTCCTGAGGTTGGTTGCCGTACATAAGTGTTAAAATAACCGCTTATTGATATCGGCTTCGTTGCTGTAAAAATCTCCATCCCCTGTGCAGGGCAAATGGCCAATTTCCAAATTGAATTGTTGACTGCCAGATTTGCAATTTTGATCGGCATAACTGACATTAATGGAAAACAACCACTCACCACCCAAAATCCACGCTTACATGATTGGTTGTTACTATTTTCGAGAAGTCGTCTGCATGTGGCCATCGAAATCGGAAATGACACCTTCGCCAGCATGTCCATCATATTTATTGCTTTTAATTCTAGGTAGTTAACCGACGCCAGACTGTCCACCACTAAAATGACACACTTAGAAGTACGCTGGCTTTGCTGATCTGCATAATGACGGCGTACGATAAAATGTTACAGAAAAAAATGTACCTGTAACCCTTAGTATAATTCGAAATGTAATCAGACCGGACGTGCAGTCTTACGTGAAAATCTACTACTTAAATTATTCAGGGCTGTGGGTTCCAATGCAGAGCCTTCATCATAAGGAGCATTCTACCTGACGCTCTGGCCGTCATTTCCGTCTATGGGAATGAATCGGACTTTCATTTCACCGTGTCCTATGTCACCCCTCAATAGCAATTTGCATTATGAAGGAGTTGGCTCGATTACGCCCGGACTACAGTCCCCGATGGAAGAGGGAGATGAGAAAAGACTTCCATTCTTAGAAGCTCTTGACTGCTACAAACCGGACGACCAGATTGAAATGTCTATCTACGGAAAACAGGCGAACACGCTGAAAATCCTCATTTACAACATCAACCCCCATTTGCAACAAAAATGAAGTTATGTATATACATAATGCTCTCTACCGACCGAAGAGAGATGATCCCATTGCGCACGGCGCATTAGTTTAACAGCGTTTATAATTGCATGAAATCTAACCACCTGCCCCGCCCAAGGCATTTTACAAATCATATGAAGGACAATTAATTCGACTGATTAATGTTTTTTATACCATACCGGATTTATTGACTTCCAGACTGAGCGGCATTCGCAGGTAGGGCGATTCTTTTAACTGATGTCAGTCCTTTCGCGATGTCGTGAAAGCCATATTTGACAGTTTCGCGTACGTTTTCTTAGAGACCCTCTAGCTAAATTATATGTAGTAAAGTAAATTCTGCACAGCGCAACGGCAGGCATAGCCGCAGTCATGCGGAACTACGAAGTCGTCAGCGAGAACGGGTAATGATGAATTGAGCACGCATCAATCC